TTTTGAAGTCTAATCAATATATTAAAGGTAATAAGATATTGTATAAATATATATAATTAATAAATAATATGTACCTATAATTTTGTCAGGGAAAACATGGAACAAATCTAAAAAGACACCTGAGTTCCCACCAAGATTTATATGAAGAGATGCTAATCAAAGACAAAGTAAAAAAGAAATCYTCCGCAAAGACCACCACTTCTGTTATCAAAGCACATGAGAAACTTTTTTATTTTTCTACACCCAAGGTTAAAGTTAACATTAATATGAACACTTTAATCAGCGCCTGTGTAGATTTAGTCACTGTAAATAGACGATCATATACTGTACTAAATGATACAGGTTTCAAAAAATTATAAATCCAATTTTAGATGGTATGAATAAAAAAGTGGCTATAAATTCAAATACTATAATGTAAGAAAATATTTTACATCAGTTCCTGAAAATCTTTTATTTATTAAATACTATTTGTATTTCATAGGAAATATGTACATGAAGAATCATTAGCCATACAGAAGCAAATTCGTATTGATGCATATACCAAAGCAAAACTAATATCATTGAAACTTGACACGACTAAATCGATCATTTTTGGGAATTAATATAGGTACAATATATTGTGGATGATTACATCAAACTCAGAACTCTTGGCTTAGTTGAGCTTACACAATCACATACAGGTATAAATTAAATATAAATTTTAATGATTAGGTTTTACTACTTTACTAGTACCCATTTAGGTTTTATGAAAATCGTTTTTAACTAAAAAAAATAAATAAATAGATAATAACAATATGTATACCTATTATATTTTAGGTTTATATTTAAAAGAAGTTATTTTAAATGTCTTAAAAAAATACAACATTGAACCTGATCAAATTTATACAATTACATCGGACAATGGGGCTAATATGTTAAAAGCTGTGAGCTTGATTGAAAAATATATTTCCGAATTACAACAGTCAGATAACGAATCAGAAAATAATGGTGAAATAAATGAGCTGAACATTGAAGATGACAGCTATGTTTGCATGTATAATATTTGTGTTTTGAATTAATACTAATATATGTATTTAACTAAAAATTCTTGTAGCGATGAAACCACAAGTGAAATATGTACAGAAAATAATGTTGATCTTGATGAAGACCAAATCTCAATGATGCTCGCTGAAAATACAGAAGAATATAATAATTRCCTAGATAACGATTATGAGCAATCTGAAAATATATTGAATKAAATTCAATCATTTCAAAACATTGAAGGTGATACTTCAATATTTACAGGTAAGTTATCACAAAATATTCTTTTACAAGAACATGAAATTTATGTTTAGAAAAATTAAAAAATTCTACTCTATACAATATTCTACTAGTAAATTTAATTTAATATTTACTTTAATTACAAATTAAAAATACCTAGCTAAAATTGTTTGTTTTTTAAAGAGTAAATAATTACGGATTCTTAATAATTATTTTCTATGAACATAGAACCAAGTACAGCAGTGACCTAGTTACTATATACTAGTTATATACTAATTTTATTTAATCTTAGTTAGATACTTTTTTTAAATATTTAAAGACTTAATTTACATTGTAATGAATAATTTCTACCTACATAAGTAATAAACAACAATTTTCTGTTAACCAACATAATGTTATTGTTTAAAAGTTATAACATACAATTTTTTAGTGTTAATTTTGATTTTTAGGTGTATGATGTGTGGCTCATACCTTACAATTGGCCGTGATAGACAGTTTGAAAGATAATGGGATTGAAAAAATATTAAATAAAGTTCGCACATTGGTTAAAAAGCTTCGAAACCAAACATATATATACATAATAAAAAAAGAAAAATTAAAGTCTCCCATACTTGACTGCTTAACTCATTGGCATTCAACATTGGATATGTTAGAAAGAGTCAAATATCTTAAACATTTTATACAAAATATGGCAGCAAATGATTCAGAATGGAATCAAATTAAAGTTATTTCAAAAGCTTTGTTACCGGCAAAAATATGTACAAAAAAGTTCCAAAACTAGCAGTTGACATTAACCGATTTTTATGGTGCCTGGATTTTGTGTAAAATTCAAACTAAAAATGTAATACTTCATTTTCTGAAAAATTGGTTGAATGTTTAACTATTAGGGAACAACATTTAATGAAGAACAAAGTTTTATTGGCAGCAATTTTTTTGGACCCACAATACAAAATCATCCTTGATGACGAACAATACACTACTGCCATTAGTCATTTAATTGGAGTTTGGCTTCAATTGAAAAAGTTGGGACAAAAAAGTATTGACTTAACTACGAACAATGACGACATCATATTAAACAAAGATTCAGAAGATGATTCAATTACAGGTTCTGGTGGACTTGAAGATTTTCTTAAAGAAAAGGATGTTGACACTTACAATGTATCAAAAATCTCACAAACATCATCTCATACAATTGAAACAATTCTTAAGTCATACCATATCAAACAAAACAGATTAAACCATAAAACAAATATCCTCAAGTTTTGGAAATCAATGGAAAACATTTATCCAGAAATCTATGTCTTTGCTAAAATAATATCAGTTCCATCAACTCAAGTTAGTGTTGAACGTCTATTCTCAGGCCTTTAATTTATATTTTCACCTTATAGGTGCAATATAAATTCACAAAACCTAGAAGACCAATTGTTAGTACGTACAAATAGATTGTTCGATAAAGTTGACAATAAATATTTTAAAAAAAGGTAAAAAATCTATAGTATAATATGAATTTAATATTATAATATTATTTTTATTWATGTTTTAGTATTGAGAAAAATCTAACTACAAACATTGAAATGAGCTCTTTTCAAGAAGATACAGAAAATAATACTGATTCAATGCCAACGCAAAAGAAATTCTATGTCTTATTTAACCTTTGTTAAC